ATACATAATAATATAATCTTCATATGAAACAAATTCTTAAATTCAAATATTCACTTTTAAGACCCTTTTGCTTTTTTATTAGTCTCTCGATATTTTTATGTGTTTGCTTGTACTATACTTTAGCAGTTTGTCTGAGCACCCCAATTCCTGCAAGAAAAGTGAAAAACATTTTATATGAAACTTTGGTGACACCTCTTTCCAAGCTAAGAGGTATGTCCCTACAGTTCAGCACTAGAGGGACCTGTAGATGTTAAATCAAAGATACTGTTCCTTAGTAGCTGAAAGGTATCTATTAATGAATAAAAACAGCATTTTTAATTGGGGTCTCTTTAAAAATAAGTATGTGAAGTCAAACAGGATTTTCCCACATGAAATTGTTATGGTGGAAATTAATAGTGTAAATTATAGCTTTTTATTTCAGCCTTTTCATCTTTTAATTTCAAAAGCCATTTTTTCTGTCTTATATTAATTGTAGCAAAAGATCAACAGGTGTGCTAAAAGAGGCCACATTTCTTCATTTTTGGATTCAGTTCATAGGACACACACACAAATACGTTTCAACAATTTAGAGTAAGCACAATCCCCATTTAATCATTTTAAATCTTTCCTTTCATTTGGTCAGAAAAAGTGAGTGCCAAGCATATTATGTCTTTATCTGAAAATGCAGATACTGTATCTGTTTTTACTTTTCTAAAGTATGCTTTTACCCCCAATCAAATGTGTAATTATTTCACTATTGATCTTTTAGAATCAGATACCATAATACTTTTTTTTAGTTAATCAAACCTTTTTTATATTAAAAACATTTTGTCAGATACATTATTTTTTTAAAGTAAACACTTCAGGTCAACATTAAAACATTTTGTTATCCATGTTTTTTTTAGATAAATCATATTGCCTACAATATTTCTCCCAGTGAGGCTGTGAAAAAACATTTGAAATTCATTAATTCATTAATTACTTTAAACACAAATAGTAATATTTGTCCAACAAAGACCAGGTACTGCCTTTAGGTTTAAAAACCAAATACAGAAAGAAAAGAATTGCAACCCTAATGCTGGTATTTTCAACTTTGCAAAGTATTACTATTTATGTAACATATATACTGTATGCAGTGTGAATATAGATATACAGTAATGTGCCATTCTTGTTGCTTACCTTAGTTTTAGATTTTAGGGAAACTGTGTCTATACAACACTCACTTTTATACTTTTCTTATTAAAAAAAAACATATACAAATTCAAAGGCTTCGTTTTAATTAAGTGGGTCATATGTGGGTATTTTTCATGTATATAGCATATATTATTTTTTATATTTGTCAATTTAAAGTTTATTGGTTATGGCCCTCATCACTGAGGCCCACAAAACCACAAAGTCATGCTGGAGGGACCAAGACTACTATTTAAAAAAAAACCTTCTATGGGCTTTTCCTACTTACTGTATGGTTCTTGAAATTGGAAATATTTCTGTCTGCTTATTTCATAAGAGGCTAACATGATGAGAAAAGCACAGCTCATTTAATATAATAATGATGTTCTCCGTAATTTGAACAGCATACTGTAGGTTTAGAGTGTAGGGCACTAGATTTGTAAACAAAGTGTAGTCATTGTACATATTACAGATGGTTTAAAGTCTGATAAAGAATGCCATGGTTTATGGAAAATTTCATAGAGACAAACCCTGAACACTTCTGATTTCAAGAATCAAGAACTACAGATCATCTCAAGAATTCCTATAGAGCACATGTTCCCAAACTACTGTACATTGCATCTGACTTACACATTGGATTTAAATCAAGACAGAAGTCTTGTGCTCTGAGAGGCTAAAACTGCCACAATGATGTTAAAAGTGAGGGTTGAAAAACATGTCCCGCAATTAATACTTAAACACGTAGTACTTTCATCTTAACTGAAAGGGAGAGAATACTTCTTTACATAAAAAAATAATAATTGAATTATGTTCTATTTCAACTATTACACAGTCCTAAAAGACACAAGCCTAATAGAGCCAGTTTGTAGTTGCCCATGTTAGCAGATTGGGTTAATCCAATAAAAGAATTGTGTTTGTGGATGGGTATGGACTATAAAGAAAAGAGGATGGTTAATGACGTGGCTAGTGTAGCAAGAGCTGTTTTATTATGTGGTGGAATGGAATATAGGAAACCCATTAATTTGTGATAGATGTAAAAAAGTAATTCCTCGAATAATAAAAAAAAACATGTTTCTATGGAAGCATATCAGCAATGCTAGTAACAGATGATCCTAAATAAAAGAAAATTAGCAAAGAAAAAAAACTATCATTCCTCCACTGTTCCTAAAACCATGAGCTGGAAAGTAATCCTAGCAGCTCTCCTCTAACCAATAGTTCTTCATTATATATTGGTTTGTAAGCAATACTAGATTTCTTAAATACTGTGTCTGCTTAGGTTGGGATATGCTGTACTTGAGTTGGGAAGCACAGTGGTACAGTATTTATCATTGCTGCTTTGCAGCGCTAGAACCCTAGGTTCAATTCTGGACTTGTGCTGCTGCATGGAGCTTCTATCTGCTTCTGCGCAGAGTTTCATCATGTTAGTCGGGTTTTCACAAGGTGCTCTGGTTTCCTCCTACAGTCCAAAGACATACTGGTAGGGTAATTGGCTTCCCGGGAAATT